GAGGGATGAAACTCCGCTGCAGAGGATGTGATGGGTTGGGTACCGAGGTTAAGATTGTGCTCGAAGTGCCCACTACAGCGCCCGACTTTGGCCGAGTTGTCAGCAATAAAGCCACCATTCACGTCGTGAACAGTCACTCAGTGCAGAGAGCCTACCGCTAACTTGGCGGATAAGTTGGTAGAGTTTTTGAGTGTCACCAATGTTCCATGGAGGTAGCTATTTCAGCCCAGTATTGCTTCCGGTCAACCCTGGCCTACTTTGCCGTCATCATTCGAAGGTGTCGGAAGGAATCCTCATTACGGGATCTGGCGCGGGCCGTCTGAGCAGACAACTGCAGGCTTCTTCCGCTGATCCAGTCGCTGTGGCATCGCTGAGTATATCCAAGGATTTTCTCAGCTGCCCCGTAGACTGACATTTTTAGTGACGATCACTGGTTACGACCTTCTCCGTCGGCTCGGATCGTAAAATAAGACCGAATTTCTCTGTTCAGGGCTCTGACAGTGCTAGTTTGCCAGATTTTTGCAACATCAGGGCGTCTATGACGTGGCGTTTTTGGCGCGGATTAGAGGTGAACTTTCAAGCCTGTACGAACAAGGACATAGTCCGACCTATGAGCGTTACCAGTCTCGGCACCACGCATTGATCTGCCATCGTGAACCTAGCCGCGGAACCCTCACTTGACTATTATGTAGTCAGTCTGACTGGCCGTATGACCGTCATTTGAATACCAGATCAGCAGATGTTATTTGCGATGCTGGAAACATGTGTTTGCGACAAGCAATAGGTTTCGATCGGCGAAATTCAGCAATCTCTCGCCACTCACATCGGGAACCAATCCTAAAGCGGCCAAGAAAATGGCTGTTTGTGGAGTCGCCAGGTCCAGTCCGACCATTCCAATCCGCGGCGACAATCAGCAGATCGCGGCGAAGGAGTCTTTCAACTAACGCTTGCAACTGCGAGTAAAATGCCTCTTTATCGCGCTGTTCGCCAGCTGAAGTTGGTGCGTACACAGAGACGATTGAGATGTTTGTGAAGTGACCCTTCAGTCGCACGTAGGCCATCCGGTCATTGACCGGTTCCTAAGCAAGTAACACGAGGTCCGCTTGTTCCGAGAGGGCGATCATCGCACCATGTCTATCAGAAGAGTCGCGCGGGCCGCTGGGTACAGGGTGAAGTGTGATTAGACTCCAGGGATATTTATTTCCAGATGGCCTGAGTCAGGAGGTTCAGACGGACAGCAGACATCCACGCTGTACTAATTAAGGCTGCGTACGGTCAGACTTTGGGTTCTGGGGTCCAGGAACGTTTGCGAATTCCAGCATCCAATACCAAGAGACCGCCCCCGATCAAGTAGTCCAGCTCTCATAATATTCGCCCGCACCACTGGATCAGGGTTGCGGGACGCGTCGGTTCCGGCGGACGCCGTAGCATGGGTTGTAATTATGCAATTGGACATGTTTCATGAGGTTTCTTGGAAATTTCGAGTACAGGCGGGTCCCCAACAGCCGCTTGGATTGATTTTTTCCAGGTTGTCTCTTCTAGCGCTTTGGCCTAGAAGCCTAACCACAAGGCAGCGGTGACAAGCAGACATATTTGATGGCGGTTTACAATCGCCATGTCACAGTGCCGTCATCGGGCTATGCGGCTTTTTTTTATCAGGCTTTCAGCGTGCCAGACATCAGCCCTCCGCACCCTGGTAGCACTGTCGCTGCTTGTCCACGATTGTTTATTCGTAAGACCTGGGTCTGCTAATTTCGCGGCTAACCTTCACTGAAGGCCGTTCCACTATCCGCCACCTGGGGACGCGCCAGGTAGCCAGCAGCTAGGCTAACGGACAAGCTGTCTTCCCGGGCAACCCTTTTTGGTGCGAGATTTATGGACCTTCCACTTATTTCGGAGCAATCGCAGGACGACCTGTGTCAATCAGGGCCTGAAAAGTAGTTTCGTCTATCTGCAGTTCAAACACCACGCTTGAAAGGTAGTCAGGGTCAGCAGCTGATGCCACGGCTGAAATAGTAGGATGCATAGCGGAAGAGAAGGCTTTTCGGTTTCGTGATGCTAGGCACACCTTTTGGAAGTGTCCTTTTCTACCGCATCCCTTGCATAACGCATCGCGCGCGGTACATGTCGAATGGCGTTGTCTGTCGTATCCACAAAAGAAACATTTGCTATGGGATGAAGTAGAAGTCACTAGGTCAAGGCCTTTAACGGAACTTGACAAAGTTTCACATAGCTCAGTAGCGGGGGAGAATGAGGTCGTCGGAGGGTCTGGGTACGATAGAGACTGCCTTTCTGTCAATTCCAGTGACCATGCCCGATCAAAGGCAGTTTGGAAGTTCAAATTATTCTTTTCCATCAACCTCTTCTGAATCTGGTTTGGCGAAAGGCAGCTGATGAACGCGTCTCTGATGGCATCGCTGCGATTCTATTCTGCCGTAACGGCTTTTGAATCACAGTCCGTAGCTAAGGACTGGTCGAGGGTTTGTTCGCCTTCGTATCCGCGGCTTGCTGGAAAATGGCAGGAAAAGAAGTAGTTTTTTCGGTTTTAGATATAGATCTCGTATCAATTCAACAGCTTCCTTGTAACTAGAGCATTCACTAATGCATTCCCAGTCTGTTGCGTAGATACAGTTAGTCAGAGCGCTCATTTTATTCGGTTTTAGGCCTTCGACCAGGGACAAGAAATTTTCGAAAGTGCGAAACTAATAATTCAACTGTTTATAAGTGTCTGGAGCATTCGGATCAACGTCCATTCGTTCTGACCTAAGGAATCGATCCATCTTGGAGTTGCGAGATGAATAAATTGCCGTAGTTAAGACCGTAGCAAGCACGCGAGAGGGAGAGCACGAACAGAGCGGGATGCAAGAATCAGAATGAAGAATACCCTATAGCAGGGCTTTATTCATCTTACAGTTGACGTACTGGAACTAAAACGAGAAATGGAACAGTAGTAAATAAGGTAAAATTTCGCATGGGCACGAGATATCATGACAACACGGCCTCCAATGGTTTAATCACACAATTCACCGACCTGAATGAGAGCTGATCCGCGGCGTCATTGCTCCTGCCCCCCCCCCCCCTCAAGGGCTTTTCGAGTTTCGCTTCTGCGGCTCCCAAACAAAAAGTGGATAGAAGTGTTTGAGTCAGATTTCGAACGAATGTTCGGCCGTACCAGCCAATGATTCTGTAGGTATTGGACCCCTCTAAGGCAGCACTACTACTAAATGGACCAGCTGCATGAAAATATTCTCATAGAGAGCACTTACTTTTGCCGACCTCTCTCTCTGTGTTGCTCATATCTATGACGAACAGCCCGTTGGCCCCGCCTATACCAAGGACTTGTTAAATATGAGGGAAAAAGTACACTTTCAGTCTGAAATAAAAATACATAAGCAGTTAATAGTCCATAACCTCTATGATCTAATGCAAGCGCGAAATACAACCTTTATTATTGTTGAACGGAGCACTTTTGAGAGATATATTTCCTGCAAAGAAGTGCAGGCGTAGTCAGTAGACTGTATTATTACATATCACGAATAATCCGTTTTCGGTTTTGAACCCAAGAGGCGGTACTTTGTCGACGTAGAACGGAAATCCAGGGTAAAACATGCAGTCCTCGCACAAACTGAATAATGTATACTTATACTCCGTACAGGTAGGCAGACGGCGATCTGTTAAGCCGATTTCACGCGGTGCACCACATTTAGAAAATCAACACATCTAAGCGGCTAATCGTGTTCACTCTTCATTGTTGTATTTACCCACCATCACGAGACAGCGGAGATACAACTTGCTGTTTCCGCAGACCGATCACTTGATATGACCGGAGAATGGGGAGGGAAATGACTGGCTGACTCCTCAGAACGCACGGTCCGGCTGTCGAAGTTAAAAAGCCTCGGCGGACGCTTGAAAAGGGGCACAAGACCGAAATTACTAGCGACCTATGCACGCCGAATGCCTCCGACCGAGGCGTTGGAGACTTCATAGTCTCCCATACATCATTTTCATGTAAACTATGAAATGGGTACTCCACGGGCAAGCTTCTTTGATCTTTCTTGGCTGTGCTATAATGCCTTTAGGAATTGCCAATTCTTGTTCATGCTATTCCGAATGTGTTGCCATTTCCTTTCCGGAACCGTTTCATGCAAATATTCCCTTTGTACTCTTTCTGGTTTGAGAAGAATACATGTCATTCTCAACAGTATCCTTTTCTGATTGTGAACTGGTGCTGCGGTTCACTCAAATCCTATTTACTGCTTTAATTTTCTCCCTTTATTCATCTAGGCTGGGCTGATTCTTCCCCAGTTCTCGCTAGTTTCCAAAGGAAAATTGAAGTTAGTTGCATCGTTTGTAATAGGCCGGTCTGCCTTACAGCACCAGGAGTAACTGTTGAGGATGACCTGGGCCCAGTGCACTTGTTTCTTCAGTCGGAATATATTCGTTCGTTCCTTATCGATGACGTTTGAGTATTCCAGTGACGAGCAATTCCTGACAACATATAAAAGTGTAAGGTGTATCATGTGTCACTAAGCTCGCAGTTTCTGCCCGAATTGAAAGTCACCGACGAACAGATAGACGAAATTTTGACAGAGGTGCGGCACGAGTCCTCAGCTCGTCATCAGGAATCAGGTAGAAGTTTGGAGCGCAAAGTCAATATTGTCAAAAATTACACACCCCTAGACAGAAAGTCCTTTGTTCTCTCGGTAAGAAAGTGTTCTAGCATTTCAGAGCCATAGGCAGTTGACTACCAACCACTGGTCGCAAATCTACTCCGGAAAATTAAACAACGGCACTTTGACGTGGAGGAGGCTTTTTCCATAGTTGAACCCGTACCAGGTGTGTTCCCATTACCTTGTTAGGTATTTTATTGTTGTTTTTTTCGACCTGAAATATCCCCGTTCCGCACTAAATCAAACCTGAGCTCGCAGATGATAGACCTCCGGTTGTCTAAAAACCCGTTTAAGTTGTGGCTTGACGAAAGATGGTTGCATGCAGTTCCCCAAATTCTAGGGTGGAGTTTCTATTCGTTGGTGGATACATCACTTTAAGATTCCATGATTTTACTGGACGGCCACTGAAGTCTTATTGACTGGCGTGCTGTAATACAACTATGACCTGTGACACTTCTGTGAGTAGTAAGTTTGCCATATCGGTACTCAGTCACGACTGACGACACTACCGTTACATGGTCCACGACTGCAAGCGGCACTATAATCCTCTTTAGACATGTCATTACACAGACCAAAAGAATGCAGTAGTTGGTGGCGGTGTCCAGCGTAGTTTGCTTCAATCTCACGAGATTTTTTCCTCTATCAGGGTCCAAATCTCCAGCTAATCCACCTTTTTGCTTGGGGCGGGGAAGTGCGCGGCAAAATCTTACTTAATATCCTCTCCGGAATTGTCTTAAGTGTCTCGCCCCCGTCCGTGCCACCATTGGTGGGGGAATCCATTTGCCAGATTCATCGTGTGAAGTTTCATGTACTCATCCCGTTAAAGGCACCCAACTGTGCCTGACCTCACGCTGTCGTCTGGCGTCGCCGTTTGGCTTCGGAAGTAACATTTTAAAGCCTACTTGTTCGACCAACAGTAGCCATTTTTTTCTCGAGACGACACTAACGATTCTTTTTTCTATTCCAGGATTGCAAGAGGTCTATACACTACCGCTCCTAACAGCAGCATGCCTACACAGAATAAATGCCGAACTGGACGCCTTTCTGGCCTCTGGTCTTCCGGTCAGTCGCCCAAACACAATGAATCGTCAGGGCATTTTACTCTGCGAGCTGCCCGGTCATATGGCTAGGGCTCACCCCGAATCACCCTCTGATCCAGGTGGTGCGGACGTTGATTTGATAGGCCAGGGTCTTCTAAGCCCAGTCGAACCAGTATCACTCCGCTGCCTTCTAGAATTAATTTTTCCCGACATTGGCGGGAAAATTGACTCCTACAGGGCCTTCACAGTCGAGTACGAGGGTCAAACTGCTGCAGATCTGGAGGTTGCTAGGGACTCAGGTCTCGCCTACCACTATGACAACGCTGAGGTCAGTTTTATCTTCTTAATACTCATCTATTGCATCGGATTCGGTTTAGCAATGGCACTCGGTACTTTAGGAGCAAAGTTTTGCCTAAAACCACTTTTCCCGCAAGTTCCAAAAAGTTCATAGCTGCAGTGTAAGGTAGGAGAGGACATTAGGTGACCTGAGTTAATGTCTGTGCGGACGTTCGCGAGGGACATGTTGCTGACAGAGGGTGAATTTGCTTTCGGTTTAAGAGGGTGAACTCTAGTCAATGAGCGGTGCATTAAAGTCGCCCATGCTCAGGACGTCAGGCCGGAGAGTAAATCGTCCTAGCTCCTCTAACAGACGAGCGTCAGCCTCGGGGTCACTCCTCGGTGGTCGATAGACGGTCAGAAATTCAAGGCTGTGTGGTCCTGGTACCCATATAGTGAGCCAGATAGTCCCGGCGGTGCACGCAAACTGTCCTGTTTTACGTAAGTGATGACTCCTCTTTCCTGACGCCCTCTCCTATCTCTTCGAAACAACTGAAAGCCTGGTAGCACTACTTGGCGTTCATCCACGTTTTCAGACAGCCAGGTTTCTGTCAAGGAGACAACGTTGGGGGAAAGGCCACAGATGTGGATCTTCAGTTCGTCTAACTCGGGCAGTATACTCTGCACGTTGGTGTAAAAATGTTAGTTTCAGAGTTTTGGGGCGTTTGATTATGGTGCCACTTGAGTTCCCATTTAAGGAACCTATTGTATCCTCATTCGGATCGGTTCCGCCCAACAAATTAGAGGAGGGCTTTGCACTATCCGGTCGTTGTAGATCACGAGATTCGTCTCGCCATTCTGCAACCCTGTTCTCTGTTCCAGAACTAATTGTCGACGCTTTATTCTCTCTGGCGGTGTGTAGTCCGGCTGAAAAAAGCCGCGGCTGGTGTCTTTGATTCGGAATCGTCGTGAAAGAATAAGTCCTACTTGTTCTTGGTTAGCTAAAACAACCTTGAATGGTCGGGGACGTGAATGCTCTGATAAGTCGATTGAGCGCTCTCCAAGTCTAAAGGCCTTGGGCATCGAAACTTCCTCATTGGGGCGCAGAAGTTTGTTGAGTAGACATTGGAAGATTTGCAGGTCTGCCGAGACCCGCTCTTTAAAGGCACTAACTGTGGATTCGATTGCTGCGACAAAGACTACATTGGCCTGATGATTCCACTTCCTACTAATAAAGTTCTTGTTCGAGCAATGAAATGCACTTCTTCCCAGCTCCTACTCAGAAATCGCCTTTTAGCATGTATGGCCGGTCGAGGGATTTACAGCCAGAAAGCATCTCCCATGGAACGGCGTCAGACCATTGACTACATTTCGTTTGGGGGTGCGCTGCCTCCAACTATTCCGACAACTTCTGCAAACTGTGCCGATTAATAAATATTCACTTTACCCTCACAGTACTTCCCGTTCGACCGTAGATGACATAAGGGACATCGCATAGCACCATAAAAAGGCTGTTCCAACACGCAGCCCTCCATTGTTTCACTAAAATTTAACTTCTCAAATATTAGTGGTGTGAAGCAAGCTACCTCTGAACTTTGGTAGTTGGAAACGTATACGGCCATGCAGCGATGCTAACAACTCAATCGAAGCCAAGCGCTGGTGTAACCACTTTGAGCCTTTTCTCAACTTCTTATACCTCTCCAGTCCACGCAGCGCCACGTGACCACCCTTCTTAGGGCAATGCAATGTCCACCCAATTGATGCTATTCCCAGGGCTTTCACGGTATTTAGAAGGTTTCTTTGGTCTCGCGATGACATCTGCATCGCCACAAACATCCGCGTGTACTGGGCATCCATCTGGCCAGTCCTTCTCTTCGGTCGTGAATGTTGGGCTGTGTGCATGGAAAAAAGGGGCAAAAACTGAGTATTTTTCATCCCCGCTGCCCGAGAACCGTTCTTCGAGTGAAGTACACGAAATTGCTTTCGGATGAGAGAATCCACTTGCGCTGGAATAACATTACAAAGATATTTCAGGCCATTCAAGAAGGAGGACTCTAAAGTGGTTTGAGTACTTTCTTAGTCATCCGCCTCATGAGGTCAGTGTTAGTGTCCTCGATCTGGCTCCTTAGCCCGCCTGGAGGCAAACCCAAAGCCTGTATCAATACAGTTCGCCAAGACATAAAAGAGTGATTCTTGAAACTTTGATATTCCGTCTCCCTCGCTGGACAGAATGGGTGGAGTTCTTCAGATCTGCTGTCGCCTATCGTCACCCATGGGGGGGTATACTTCGCGACATCATCGAGGTCGGCCATATCAGGCATCAACAATACACAAGACTGAGTTCTGAGCTGCGGTGACCCCCCTATTTATGTGACCTTTATGACGTTTCGCACCTTTGTGAGATCCGAAAGCCCCTGAATGAGGCTCGGTACACGGCGAGTTGGTGGCGATGCCGTGTGTAGCAGGCTTGTACGAGCTGTTTCGCCCTGTTAGCCACCGCCCGTGACTCCGCCTCCGGTCGTCTTATATTGTGAATCGTATGGGCGGAGGGAGTTAGGTGGGCTCAGCACAAGTCTGCTCCATTTTAAATAATTTCACACGCAAGTCGCACCCGGGCAGTAGGGACAGTCCTGAACAACGCCTCCCACAACAGTTCAGCTGCCCCGTGTTTATGGTTGCAGATGTTGGCTAAGTTCGTTATCGGCTGAACAGAGACAGAATAGGTCCGCAACTCTGTGTGTGCCCCACCACGGCTATTTGTTCTGATTCACTGTCACATAATGAGGTATGTGCTTTTAATTCACACAAATACATGCGTAACAAGCACTTGAAATCTTTGCCTGATGCACTTTTAGCTCACAGTAAACATATGTCTACGCATGCGGAAGTCCTCCGATAAGGATCCGGACCCAGTGATGGCGGTGCAGGCTAACGCAGACGCCGGAGGCGAAATCTGCTTTGCGCATTCAGATCCTTACTGGATTATGCACGAGCCCTGTCCGCCCGCCGCCCTGGTGCCCAACCAACCGGGCTGGGCCTTGCTCCATCGGGGCAGTCATGTGCACGGGGCGCAACCCCTGGCACCTGGATACGTCCGGCGAAATCTCATTGTATGGCTGCGGTCAACTTCTGTGCGCAACAGCCGCTCTCCCTGTCCCCGTTGTAAACTCAGGCCGAATCTTGTCCCTTTGCCCTATTGGCTGAATGGCCAGATTGTCGAGGGCAAGCAGCCTCCGTCGGATCAAAGTGTCATGACTTCTGGTTTTGGTGATGGCTTCTGGCTTGAGGCACTTCCGCCTCCGTCCCCTTCTCTCTTGTCTCATTGATTTTATGTCTAAATAGGGTGTCCTCTCAATTTGATGCCGGTCCTGCCATTTCTTTGTGTGTTTTTGAGACGCAAAAGACCGTGGAGGGTTAAACATCGGCCTACGTTTATCATGGTACAACGCACTTTTGAATTCACTGCGCCAACGATCTGGGTCCTCTTCCTCACATAATATAGGCCCCATTCCAGGTTAAGCGCCTTTGCACCACCAGTTTATAAAGTCGCGGACGCGCACGGCAGTTCGTCCGTCGAAAACGACGACGACGAGGCTGTCCTTAAGACGTAAAGTTGGGGCAGCGCATGTCGGTGACTTATCTGCTACCATCTGGTTGGATAGAATCGTCGGCCTTAAGGTCGCATCGTCCGTGGAATGTGTTTCGTGCTAGAGGTGGAAATGGGTGACCGACTTCCATTATAAGGCATCTTCATTTGAGGCAAATTTTGAGACCAGCTGCGGACAACAGGGTTCAGGAACAGCAACTTATAAAGCTCCCATAGCAAGCGCCCGGTGCATGTGCGCGTGCGCATTCTGCTGAGTGGCAGTTCCACAGTACGCCGTCTGCCAGGAAGTCGAAATCAACCGAGACGGGCGGATACCCACAGGCGCTTGTTGGGGAGCATCTAC